GAGCTGGATTTCGGGTGGGGCGGGCCGGAATTCGGGTCGTACCATTTCCCGTGGGGCGGGGAGACCGGGTACGTGATGCCGATGAGTAGCGCGAGGGGGAATGGGGATTGGGTGGTGTACATGCACCTCAAGAGGCGGCACCTGGACCTGGTCGAGGCACGCGCGCCTCACGTGTTCAGGCCTTTCAGTACTGTTGATTATTTTGACTAAATTAAATAGTGTTGTATGCATTGAATTTGAATCGTCTTTTAATGTTGACTTAGGTGTATCAATATATGCATAAAAATGTTTGTATTTATTAATTATAGTAAGATTTTTTCATTAAAAAAAAATTACTTATTATATAAAAAAAATATTTGTAAACATTCTTTTCTACTTTTTTTTTTTTTATTTTCTTTCGATAATTTTTTATGTGTCATTATAGACTTTCTTTTAGGTAATATGATATCAATAATTGATTTAAATATATTAATTATTTTTTCTAAAATAAAATAATTCAATTATTTTATTACAATTAAATATATTTTTATTATTATATTTAATGATTTGATATCAATAATTTGAGATTTTTTAATTATTCGTTATTCACCTAATCTAAAATTTAATTTGTTTTGAAAATATAAATTAACAGGTATGGTTATAGATTAGTCAGTCCAAAAATAATTACTTGTAACAATGAAAAAAAACTTCATTGGTTCAATGATAGTCTGTTTCTGAGATTCTTGAATTTACCATACATTAATAAAAATTGTAATACAATATCATTTTATTCACATAAATATTAATTAAATGATCTATAAACATTCATAATTTTTTAACATGTTTTCATAAAAATATTCTTAATAAGATTACTTAGAACATGGACTAGAAAACAACTGATGGCTGAGAAACCAGTGAACCAGCTGAATCGATGTGGGAGAGCGACACAAAGTGCAGTCTAGAACCTATCTAATAACGACAAACAAACTAAGACAAACAAACACCAAACTACCACACAAGAGAAGGAAAACTACCACAAGAAGAGAAGCTCTAAACCGGGAGAACCAAAGTGAAAAGACACTAACCAACAACACACAAAAATAGAATAAAACAAAACCTAAACAGTACAGTGCCCTCCCTACTGGACATATATATTTCAGTTTAAACAAATGACATATTTCAGTTTGAATAAATTACATATTTCAATTTGAAATAAATTAGAAATTCCATATATAAATATATATTTCGATTTGTTTTTATTTTTACAACAAAAAATCAACCAACAAGGCTGGAGGAAGTCTCATGATTTTGCAATATTTTCTGCTAGGTAATCTAGTACCCTTATGCATCAAGATAAGCAATTCGGTCGTAATCGGACTCTATTATGGATTTTTGACCAAATTCAACATAGGGCCCTCACCCCAGCACCATTACGACCAAAAAACATTCCAAACGTGAAAATTAGGAAAAGCCACAAGATCTAGACCCCAAGCCGGACCCCTGGTCCGAGACGACCCACAAAACTTGCCTGGGCATGTCCACCACCACAGCCCCTCCACGCCAACTCCGAGTCTGGCACACAAACTGCCACCGCCAACGGAGGTCCGAACCATCCCAACTAAGTGGAAGCTGAAAAATGAGAAGACCAAAGCTGAGCCGCCACCGCAGACAGCCACGAACGCCTGCAGCGGCCGCCGGATCCTGTGCCTGGCACTCCCCACCTCGAGTTCATCCGCCATGGCACTCAGGTCCAAGAGCGGACCACTTACGAGAAGGGAGAAACGAGCGACACCACACCCGCGCCGCCAAGCCTGGACCGAGCCCGATGCTCGTTGGGATCGGATGAGCTGAGACCGCCTAGAGGGAGAATCTCCTGAAAGACGAGAGACTAAGGCTTGTCGAAGAGAAAATTGAGGATTTCCTCCATTTTTAGAGAGAGAAGGAGCAGTAGGTGTCGGCGTAGTCTATCAAACATCTAAGAGCAACTCCAACGCTGTGTTGGAGTTGCGTATTACTTTGAAGTAGTTCAAGATTTACTCACCAGTCCCATGCCAGATTTCAACGCTACATCAGATAAATGAATAGTGATGCGCCAGAAGTGGCGCAACACTGTACAATGCGCCAGAATTTTTACTTTTTTTCTTAAAAAAATTTTAATGTAATATTGATGATAAATTTATATATAATTTGTATTAATAAATATATATTTTATGCTAAATAACTTTGTGCAATGTATTTTTATTCAAAGTACTTTTTTATTTATTGATGTGTTATAATTTTATTTAATTTTTTTTTTAATATTAAAATAGTATAATATGAATAAAATTTTAACACATTCAAACAAGTAGATTCATTAAAAAATTAAAATTTTAACACATTCAAACAAGTAGATTTCATTAAAAATTAAAAGTTTTACACCTAACGTAAATCATAAAAATAAATAAAATATATTTTTATTATTATGGTAATAAATATTTATATAAGATTAAATTAACATATATATATATCAATTTAATTAAACGAGTAAAAAAGTAATATATTTGACATGGAATAAAATGTAGAGATAAGAACAGACATTTGTTTCACTCTTTTTTAGATTAGAGTAAAGTTCGTACTATAATAGAGATAAGGGCTAGAAATGACTTATGTTCATCGCACATCCCACTGAATTATCACCAATCGGGTTAAAAACAAACCAATCATTTGGCAATCCCAACATACACCAAATAGTCAAAAGCAAAATTAGATTTTCCTTCCTATTATATTCACATAAGTTTACTTAAATCAATCAATCATATAAGATTGTCACAACTTACAATAATATAAATCTAAAGTGTAAATAATCATTATTCAATCAATCTTTTCCTTGCCTTACGCGTATTGTGAAAATTAAAAAAACTATAGTCTATAGTTCCGATTAATAATAACACAACAAATATGGTTGAATAAAATAAATTGAGCCAACTACTGGCGGTGACATTAATATATTTCCCCCAACTTTCAATGTCTTCAACCCACCACTGTTTCCTCATCTCCCCACTCCAATTCCCATGAATTCCACCGCCGGCTCGCGGCGGCGCACCACCACCACAACACCCCTATTCATCTTTTCAGCTCTCGTTCTCTTCCTTCTCGCCTCTCAGATCCCAGGCGCCGCCGCGCGCGTCCGTGTGCTGAGCAACTACCGATTTCCGAACCCCAATCTCCGGCGGGCCTACATTGCCCTTCAGGCGTTGAAGAACTCCATCCACTCAGATCCGCAGAACATCACCCACAGCTGGAATAGCTCCAATGTGTGCTCCTACGAGGGTGTCTTCTGTGCTCCCTCGCCGGCGAATAGATCCCTCACGGTGGTCGCCGGAATCGACCTGAACCACGCAGACATCGCCGGCTCACTGCCGACGGAGCTCGGACTGCTCACGGATCTGGCGTTGTTCCACCTCAATTCCAACAGATTCTGCGGCGTCGTCCCCAAAACCTTGGCCAGGCTCCGTCTACTATTCGAGCTCGACCTTAGCAACAACCGATTCGTGGGCGGTTTTCCGAGGGTGCTGCTGAATCTGCCGTCGCTCAAGTTCCTGGATCTCCGGTTCAACGAGTTCGAGGGCCCTGTGCCGCCGGAGGTCTTCGACAAGGACCTCGATGCTGTTTTCCTGAACCACAACCGGTTCCAGTTCAGCCTGCCGCCAAACCTGGGCAACTCGCCGGTTTCGGTTTTGGTCCTGGCGAGCAATAACTTTGGCGGTTGTATCCCGGCCAGCATTGGGAGGATGGGCGGCACATTGAACGAGCTGATTCTGATGAACGACAATCTGACGGACTGCCTGACGCCGCAGATTGGGAACCTGACTGAGCTGACGGTGTTGGACGTGAGCTTCAATAGACTGAGGGGGCCGCTGCCGGGGGAGATTCGGCGAATGAGGAGGCTGGAGCAGCTGAACGTGGCGCACAACCGGCTGACGGGGGTGGTGCCGGGTGACATTTGCCAGCTGCCGCGGCTGGAGAATTTCACCTACTCGTACAACTACTTCACGGGGGTGGATCCAGAATGCCGTCGGCCAACGTTTGATGGGCAGCAGAATTGCATAGCCAACAGGACACATCAGTGGTCGGCTCAGGAGTGTTCTTCGGAAGCGGCCAGGCCGTTTGACTGCAGCAGGTCTCAGTGTGGTGGGGGTGGCGGAAGGAGCGTGAGGCGTGGGCCGAGAAGGAGGCCGCCGGTGGGGAGACCTCCGTCCCCAAGGCCGTCTCTGTCTCCTAGACCTTTTATCCAGTCTCCACCGCCTGCCACACGCTCTTCGAGGCCGCGACCACCACCTCCTCCTCCTTTGCCACCATCTCCACCTTCACCATTACCACTGCCCCCATCTCCTCCATCACTGTCCCCACCACCACCTTCACCTTCACCTTCATCACTACCTCCTCCTCCTCCTCCTCCATCCCCACCACCACCATCTCCTCCTTCACCATCACCTTC